ACAGTCTTTATGGGGTCGTTCTTTTGGCATCTGTGACAGCTTTTGACCTGATGGATACATTTATTATTTAGACAAAATAATTATATTATTTAGACAAAATAATTATCTGAAGTCAAACAAAGCCACTAAATCAATTCATTGCCTGAGAGCCATAGTGTCAAATTCCATTAAAGTTCCAAAAAAGTACCCAATCTGCCACATCTGCCTTTATGTTATCCCAGTAGTACCCCACAGCAACCCTGTCCATGGTCGCCCTCACGCCCCCATGGTTCCCTGTTCCAGGGTTGTTGTGGCACTCCTCCAGGACAGCCCGCCTCTGCTCATCAGACAGCACAACCAGCCTCATGAATTGTGCACTGGGGCCAATGTAGAATAATTTACTTTCTGTGATAGACAAACAATGTTTGTAACGTAATGATTTTGCTGCTTTGTTTGGTATTACAATACAGCACGTATGTGCACATGTGTCTGTTCAGGGATGCAAACACGTGTGGTGAAAAATGTTGGCGGTTACTATGTCTGACTAGATGGAACGTTACTGACATGCTCACACGTGTTAACTAAAACAATGCGAAATATTATTTTCAAATACCAGAGTATAGAAGAACAAGAGGCGAAACTCTGATGCTTTTTTTGGTAACAGCCACTAGGTGGCGTTTCGGTAGCCCGCCATTTTGGGGTGAAGTTTCCAACTGGAGTTACTGGACAACAGCACAGATAACAGTTTTTTGAGGTAGTTTTTTCTTGCATTAGTGAGTATTACCATTTTATGCAACTTTACACAATTACTACTATTATTAGTTAGTTACCAACTTCACTAGGCCTGAAATATATTTTGTACGTTTTAATCCCCTGGATTATGCTAAAAACATGATGATCTTATAGAACATGATGCATTGCTGTGTCCGTTATTCTATAATTGCCACTTTTGTACAGTGGCTGTGTTTTTGTTTACATAGTCTTGCTTTTTGAGAGAGAGAGAGAGAGAGAGAGAGAGAGAGAGAGAGAGAGAGAGAGAGAGAGAGAGAGAGAGAGAGAGAGAGAGAGAGAGAGAGAGAGAGTGTGTGTGTGTGTGTGTGTCTGTTCGTGTTTGTGTGAGAGAGAGAGAGAGAGAGAGAGAGAGAGAGAGAGAGAGAGAGAGAGAGAGAGAGAGAGAGAGAGAGAGAGAGAGAGAGAGAGAGAGAGAGAGAGAGAGAGAGAGAGAGTGTGTGTGTCTGTTTGTTTGTGAGAGGGTGTCGGTTCCTGTTTGTTTGTGTGTGAGTGAGAGAGTGTGTGTTTGTGTGTGAGAGAGTGTCTGTTTGTGTGAGAGAGTGTGCGAGTGAGTTTGTGTGTGAGAGAGAGTGTGTTTGTGTGTGAGAGGGTGTCTGTTTGTATCTGTTCCTGTTTGTTTGTGTGTGAGTGAGTGAGTTTGTGTGTGAGAGAGTGTCTGTTCGTGTTTGTTTGTGTGTGAGTGTGTGTGTCACAAATCATAATTCAACTTGAATGGTCTGTTTGTGTCTGTTCGTGTTTGTTTGTATGAGTGAGAGAGTGTCTGTGTTTGTGTGAGAGAGTGAGTTTGTGTGTGTGAGAGAGTGTGTTTGTGTGTGAGAGGGAGTATGTTTGTGTCTGTTCCGGTTTGTTTGTTTGTGTGTGAGTTTGTGTGTGAGAGAGTGTCTGTTCGTGTTTGTTTGTGTCAACTTATTTAAATATCTTACTTTACTGCAACTATCTGTTTCTGCTTCTTTATCATATTTATAGTGTGTGATTTATAAAATACCTTATATCCTACATCACATACATCATATATTGTGTCTGGTCACTGTATATCTTATATCAGAATATTATATTACTGTAAGCCTACTGTGAATATTAAAATACGCCGAACCATGTGTCCTGTATCATAGCTACATGAATGACATTTGCAGCAAAAAAAACCGCGCGAAAATCAGTTTGATATTCAGTGAGGTATAATTAATTTAATGCGCTGACAGCTCATTGCACCTGCCAAACAGATTACAGCGGGTGACCGGTCTAAGATGGGACACTGGCAGTAACTTAGCGGTTGATAGGGCGTCTATCAATAATGATGTCTATGCACTCACGTACCTCTTATAACAAAATTTGCAGCCATTCGTGAGACCTTCTTCTTCAACGCTGCATCCACCAACCCGTCAACCAAATATTGTCTAACGGCAGCGTAAAGGGCAAACTTCTCATTTCGCTCATTTCTTCCACTGAACTCCATTTTCTTTTGCTGTGAGTGAATGAAAGTTTCGCGGTACAAATATGCGCATGCGTGGAACAGATCGTGCAGTGTCGTAAATCAAAATCAGCATCGCAAAACAGAATTATAATTTGCGCATGTGCGTTTTCTACTGCGTCTACTACGCATGCGTAGAACGGATCGTGCAGGTGGAACGGATCGTGTACCGACACACCCTCCTCGTTAAAAGCTGACGTGTGGAAATATTTTGGCTTCTGACGTTGAAGGGGGAAAGGAGCTGGACAAGAGCCACACTAGTTGTAAGCTTTGTAGAGTAAAAGTAAAATATTTCGGAAACAAGACACATATGAGAAGCCAAATGACACGTTTCCAGCCAGAGGAGGAAAAACACTCGGCTGTAACGTTACCGGTCGTTGTTATATTATTAATTTACTACAAATATGCTCCTGCTAGTTCAGACACACATGTATTTTCCTGTTGGTTCTTTGCAATGTTAATAAAATATATTGTACGTTAATTCTTTATGGGTCATTACTTTCTACTTTTAAAGCAAAGTATTTATAGTCACACACACTAAAAAAAGATTCTGATAATCGATTTAGCATCGAATCGCAGCCCTCTGAATCGTAATCGAATCGAATCGTGAGGTGCCTAGAGATTCCCACCCCTAGTATTGTAATTTGAAAAATTGAAATGTGTTGATTCAAAACATAATTTTAACTGCGTAGAAAAACGTAATTACTTTAAATTCCTTTTTATTTACACAAAATAATTCATGCTTCACCAAATCTGTTTGATTTTCTTTCTTCCATGGATCACAACAGGAGATGTTTAACAGAATGTTCACGCTGCTCCTTTCCATACAATGAATGTGAATGGTGACTAGGGGCCAACAAATTCAAAAACTGACCAAAAAGTAAACTCATAAACTCATTTATGTTAGAAGTCATTGCATATTTGCAATATCATTCATGTTGCCATGTACTTTGAATATGATAATACTGTATGCTGTGTGAAGATGTGTCACCCCATATTTCTAAAAACCGTCCACAAAACCTTTCACAGCACGACTTTAACATATTAGGATGCCCTGTTACTTTATCCGCTACAGTAACAGACCTGGGTGTTACATTAGACTGCAACCTGTCTTTTGAAAAGCATATTTCATATGTTACAAAAACAGCCTTTTTCCACCTTAGAAACATTGCTAAGCTACGTAATAAAGTCTCTGATGCAGAAAAGTTAGTTCATGCATTCATGACCTCGAGACTAGATTACTATAATGCTTTATTAGCTGGTTGTCCTGCATCTTCAATAAACAAGCTACAGTTAGTCCAAAATGCAGCCGCTCTTACTAGATCAAGAAAATATGATCATATAACACCGATTCTATCATCACTTCATTGGTTACCTATAAAGTTCCGTATTAATTACAAGGTATTGCTTTTGACTTATAAAGCTCTAAATGGTTTAGCTCCAGTTTATTTAACGGATCTTCTATCGCCCTATAATCCATCGCGCTCTTTAAGATCACTAAATTCGAGGCTTCTGGTCATTCCTAGGATATCCAGATCCACTAAAGGAGGGAGAGCATTTTCACATTTAGCTCCGAAGCTCTGGAATAGCCTTCCTGATATTGTTCGTTGCTCAGACTCGTTCTCCCAGTTTAAAACTAGACTAAAGACGCATCTATTTAGCCAGGCATTCATATACATTTTTTATCTTACAGTTACTGAAAATTCGGCCTCTACTTCATAAACGCCAGAGGAGAACTGGCCCCGACTGAGCCTGGGTTCTCCCAAGGTTTTTTTTTCTCCATTGGGTCATCTGATGGAGTTTTAGGACACCATCGGGTCACTTGATGGAGTTTTTCGGTTCCTTGCCACTGTTGCCTTTGGCTTGCTCAGTTGGGGATATTTAAATTAAATGACCCATCATACCACTGATCAGCTCTACCAAACTTGGATGTCTTTTTCCAGTAATAAACAAACACTGTTAAGTTGTTTTGATTGATACTGTGAAGCAGCTTTGATACAATCTGTATTGTGAAAAGCGCTATATAAATATATTTGACTTGACTTGACTATTTAGTCACAATTCACTTTCATTGTACATAAAAAGAGTTACTTGTGTGTTCCATGTAAGAATGAATATCATTTGTCACATCAACATGTGAGTGAGTTAATGGCATAATTGTCATTGTTAGGAGAACAATCCCTGTATTTTCTGTATCACCAAGAAAATGCAATTGCAATGCAATTTTTTTATATCTCTGTCTCTGGTGAAATGGGTCAGTGGCAGGATGAATTAAATAGATCCTGCGCTGATAGTCTCAGTAAGGAAGTCACAGTAACAAATGAAACCCAGTGGGTCATACGGTAACCAAACACTACAGGTGTCCTATTACCACCTACGACCCAAACACAAAGCATAAGAACAGAGAGGAGAAAGCATACTGGAGCAGAAAGAGAAAGATTACTCCAAAATTATTAGAAATACCTAGTAAAATAAATGACAGTGCATTCAAAATTCATTTTCAGCATCACATTGCTTTTTAAAGTGTATAAATATACTTTATCCTGAACACATTTTAGAAGATTAAAAACATTTTTGTATGTGAGAATGAGTTCTATATGTGTAATGAGAAATGTCTGGTCATAAAAGTGCTAATACTTAAAAGGTGTATTTTATGGTAATGCTAAGTGTAGTCTAAAGTAATTATAATTAGCTTTTATTAAGAACAGTAAATTGGGAAGTCCCCAAAAGGGTAAATATATACAAGGTGCGTGTGTGTCTGTGTTTTCCATCCATGGCAATGACCTTTTTCTATTCAGGCAGCAGCAGTTGCTAAAGAGATACGGTGGGCTCTTGTTTCACCTACTTTAAACAGAGACATCTTGGCAGCTACACTCATCTTGGCTCTGGCATCTGTCTTTACATCCACTGCAAGAAAAACAGCAAGCACAACATTACAAGGGGAAAAGTATCTCCAAGTCACACACATGCATTTAAGAGCAACAAAAAATGCCAAGCTAATCGAAACTGAGACTTCATAACAGACTGCATTACTTGTGGCACAATCTGAACGGATCCTGCTGATTCACACTACACACACACACACATGCATATCTAATTGAGGACATAACATACTGTTTAATATAGTACACAGTTACGTAACTGTAGTTCACAGGCTTTTTTTTACATGTTTGCAATTAAGGACATCCCTAAAAAAGCTTGTCAGATTTAGCTTAGTTCTGGGGACTAATTAATTTGTCAACAAACTATAGCTATCTAAACCTATACACATGTGATTCACCCTAGATCATAGTGGTGTAATTTCTGTGTGAGATCACTAAATGACTGACAAACATATCATACATATTCTCTCACACGCTCATAAACTCATTGCTCTGTGTTTGGCCAAATGCACAAACAGTCTGGCAGATGTATTCTTCACCTGTGCGTATACTTCTCTTGACTGGCAGATTTATAGCTGATCTCAAACACACACACACACACACACACACACACACACACACACACACACACACACACGTTGTGTTTCCATGCTTTATGGGGACTTTCCATAGACATGATTTTTATACTGTACAAACATTCTATCCCCTAACCCTAAACCTAATACACACATCATTCCTCCTTTTCCCATGTTATTATTATTATACTAAATGTGTTTTTAAGGAATTAGATTATTATGTGAGTGTCACTAAATTACTGTCCTAAAAAGCATGGCTTATATTTATAACACTATAAGCTTTCTCTACTACAGCCTTGTATCCACTCACCAGTAATAAAACAGAGGTCATTATAACTGTTTATGACAGTATCCACTTACTCAGAATATATGCATGAGTAAAAGTGTATAAGAGTGTGTTTATGTTTTGGTTTATGTGTATTGCATTGCAATGGTTCTATGAAGCTGTAGAGTTGCAAAATTTGAAAAGACTGCTCAGACTAGTTAAACAACCATTTACAAAAAAAAAAAAACCTCCTCCATATACGCCTATATACACACACATACTACCGTTCAAAGGTTTGGGGTCAGTAAGATTGTTTTTGTTTTGTTTTTTTTGAAAAAGAAAAACTTTTATTTAGCATATGCATTAAATTGATCGGTAGTGACAGTAAAGAGACTTTTACATTGTTACAAAATACTTATATTTCAAATAAATGTGGTTATTATAAACTCTTGAGCAGCAAATCAGCATATTATTATTATTTCTGAAGGATCATGTGACACTGCTGAAATCTTTCTGACCCTGACTCTGACCCAAACTTTTGAACGGTATAGTGTATGAATACTGAATTTCATAAAAATCTGAAATACTTCATAAAAATGCTTCAATATTATAACATCATCTCTGTTTTCATCAATTTAGCTTGTCACAATAATGTCTACTCGATTTAATGAGTTTTCAGAGTTTCTCACTTGCAGGTTTTTACTTTGGCACCACTTTTTTTTTTACTTAAATTAAAAAGCAGCAAATGACTTAATGTTGACTTTTAGTTGATTAACATTTTTTACAGTGTAAAATTGTAGGTTAAGCACTTACTTTGCGAGGTGTCCTGATTTTCATCGTCCATTGTTCTGTAAAATAAAGAACTTTATGAGAAGTCTCAAAGTAAAAGGAAGGACCACAAAAATCAAACTCACATTCAACTGCTCACTCTGTCTTTTCAATGTTATACAGAAAAAAGTAAGATGACTTCACACCAGATCTGCTTTAACAAGCCTCTCCAGCACTACGGGCATTGTGACACACACTCACTCAGACACATCTGTGCAGGTTATATGCATGACATAATCCAAACAATTAAAACTATGAGCTCTTACACACACCCTGTTTGATGATCCTATCAAGCACATGGGATACATGCTGAACTCATTTCCTGACTCAAAGGAAAGGACTGTGCCGAGTATGATATCTGGCATCTGTTAATATATTCCAGCTATTTATGTCAGTGAAAGGATTTTACTCTTACATGACTAAATATCAACAAACATACACAGCACTTTCTTAAACATTTATTTGTTGCTATGCAGTATGTCATTTTCCTGATCAAATAACGTTTAAACCTAGTTTTTAAAATATTTAATTGTAAAATATAGTAAATGAAAGAAAGTGCTGAAATGTTACTTAGCTCTTAATCTCAAAAAACATAATATTGTGAAATATTATTACGATTTAAAATATCTGTTTTCGATTTTAATATGCCTAGTGTCTATTTACACCAAGTTCAAGTAGGCCGTGTTGTTGTCAGAGGCTATTTACACTGACTCAGCCAACCGTTATCTGATTGGGCTAGACAAAATAACAAAAGAAATACTGCATGGAGAGTAAGACGTGTGCCGTTAGCTTTTGACGCGATCGACCCAAGTTCCAATCCGCTTTTTACCGAACTCATTCTTTTCCCTTTTCTCATTGCAAATCAACTTGGAGTAGTGTTTATTATAAATACATTTTTTTTAAATCATCATTCATCAAATCATCATATTAGAATGATTTATGAAGGATAATGTGACACTGAAGACTAATGGCTGCTTTATCATCACAGGAATATTTACACTAAGTAAAAATACAAGAATCTTCTTTGCACTAAGTATAAAGAGTATGGGATGATTTTAGTATCAAAATGATTAACACGTGCAAGCACACTTATCAATGAACTTGATACATGTTGCAGAAATGTTTTATCCATGCCTTTCAACTTGTGTGTGCAAAATTCAAAATTGAATGAATGTGAAGCAATTTGTACAAATAGAGACATTTTTGTGAATACAAATGTTTTCCTTTGTATTAGTGTATCATAATTTGCACATGCAACACAGAAGACGTGCATGTGTGGATCAGGTGACGCGCGTGCATTCATTGACTCGTTTCTGAGTCGATCCTATTTGATTCATTTGGATTTTGAGACTTTCATTTCGCGGGTTTCGCCTTGCACGATCCACACACAGCTGTCTGAGAAAAGCTGCTACCACTAGATGGCAGTATTCTGCTAAAACAGACAACGGCAGCATAATCAAGCGTTCTTCCGCATTTAAGACGCTTAATGAGAGTGATATTGAAGCACCAAATTTAGTACACAATAATATAGGCCTACCCTATTAATAAAGCATACTTTATAGAGGTAAACAGATAACATCAGATTATGAACAACACCCATAGAAAACCATTAGTTGCATGTTCAATAGCCTACGGTATATTGGCTACTGAGTTTAAATATCACCGTCTTACTGCATTGACGTTAAGCTTTTTCTTTATAATATGCTCTATGGGAGGAAAACTATATAGCCTACAGACAAGAGACTACATGAACGCAACGCACGGCGTTTCAAGTTAATACAATTTTCCTTCCTGTTAAAAAAAAGGTGAAATTTCGCAGTTGCGTTCATATTATATGCTTATTTTTATCTGACTACACATTGTGTACATAGTATACAAGCAGGAATTTGAAAATGTCTGTTTTTAAATATTAAAGACGATTTTCGCAGTACATTTGTTTTCCCTTGACCCTTAAGCCGGCTATAGTCTTACTATAGCACGATGAGTTTTAACAATATGCAACCATTGTATATCGACATGAAATATTAATTGAAAATCAACTGGCGTAGCGGGCCTGTAGCTGCATATTTCTACATGAGAATGCTTTGACGCGCTAACCACAGCTCATGATGCACAAGGGAACGTCTGCCAATTCCACTAACTGCGTTAAAACCACTGATCTATAATGTCATTCTACATAGATCAGTGGTTAAAACGTATAATTTGTTTTAATTCAAATTACTTTTTAAATTTAATAACAGACATTTTCAAATTCCAAAGCTCGTAGAAGGTTTCTGTAAGACTGACTTACAAGTAAAATTTGGACAATACTTCCCTTCATGTAGCCTGTATTCTGCAGAAAAATACTGTAATTCACCAAAAGGGTTTTTTCATGTTCAAAATGGTTGTAGTATGTTCAGTGACTAGACTGGCTTACTACAGGTGAAATTGCCCCAATAACTCCCTTCATGTAGCCTATTTAGTAAACAATTATTATTTTATAAAAAAATTACTGTAATTAACCAAACGGGTTTTTGGTGACTTACTACAAGTGAATAATGTAAAATTTCACCTGACTTGTCACTAGGAACGTACTACAACCTTTGGAACATGAATAGAAAAACAATTTACAGTAAATAAAAAAATTGTACTGTTCAATCGAGATATTGGCTGGACATAGTACAGTAACAGTAGGCTAAGTCAGTCTGCCCACTAGACTTCCAAGGTTATAATATAACCTTGGAAATATGTTCATTTGAATGAATGACTGGACGTTTATATTTTTTTGACTGTGAGTGGAGTTTGCAGATGGCCCCTTTATAAAATGAGGCGAATATCAAACCTAAAACTTACTTCACTGCACTCTCGGACCGGTTGCTCTCCCATTCACATGCAAAGTTAAACGCAACTGCAGAATTTTTATTTCATGTTAAGCTTTTTCTTTTTAACAGGCTCGGGAAGGAAATGTTATTAACTTGAAACGCCGTGCGTTGCGTTCATGTAGTCTCTTGTCTGTAGGCTATATAGTTTTCCTCCCATAGAGCATATTATAAAAGAAAAAGCTTAACGTCAATGCAGTAAGACGGTGATATTTAAACTCAGTAGCCAATACACCTTACTGAACATGCAACGCGCGATTGCACGTTAAGCGTTTTATAATGGTTTTCTATGGGTGTTGTTCATAATCTGACGTAATGTTTGCCTCTATAAAGTATGCTTTATTAATAGGGTAGGCCTATATTATTGTGTACTAAATTTGGTGCTTCAATATCACTCTCATTAAGCGTCTTAAATGCGGAAGAACGCTTGATTATGCTGCCGTTGTCTGTTTTAGCAGAATACTGCCATCTAGTGGTAGCAGCTTTTCTCAGACAGCTGTGTGTGGATCGTGCAAGGCGAAACCCGCGAAATGAAAGTCTCAAAATCCAAATGAATCAAATAGGATCGACTCAGAAACGAGTCAATGAATGCACGCGCGTCACCTGATCCACACATGCACGTCTTCTGTGTTGCATGTGCAAATTATGATACACTAATACAAAGGAAAACATTTGTATTCACAAAAATGTCTCTATTTGTACAAATTGCTTCACATTCATTCAATTTTGAATTTTGCACACGCAAGTTGAAAGGCATGGATAAAACATTTCTGCAACATGTATCAAGTTCATTGATAAGTGTGCTTGCACGTGTTAATCATTTTGATACTAAAATCATCCCATAATAGAGCATCTACTATTTACACTTAGTGCAAAGAAAATACTTCTATTTTCACCTAGTTTAAATATTCCTGTGATGATAAAGCAGCCATTATTCCAGTTTTCAGTGTCACATGATCCTTCATAAATCATTCTAATATGATGATTTGATTTGATCCTCAAAAAATCTTTCTTATTATTAATGTGAAAAACAGTTGCCCTGCTTAATATTTTTGTAGAAACTGTGACCAATTTGTTTCAGGATTCTTTGATGAATAAAGTTCAAAAGATCAGCATTTATTTGAAATAGAAATCTTTTGTAAGTGTAAATGTATTAACAGTCTCTTTTGATATAATGTGTCTCTCTCTATATATATATATATATATATATATATATATATATATATAATAGAGCATGTGCATGTATGGCATGTTTGAATGTTTTTTGTCACATGAAAAAAAAGTTAATGACAATCATAACACCCAACTAAGTTAGTGTGTCTAGGTACACTGTTAGCAATTGATGTAATTTTTACAATACATTTTACAACAACATATTGTATTCATGTTTTTATTGTAAATGCAAATGCATGATGGGAAATGTATGGACAGTCCTGTAATTTTATTGTAACTACACTGTAGAAGCATTATTTTACAGCCACCGCATAGCATTGTGGGATCGCTGCTGTTTGAATTTTGAAATTGCGCGGCGGCTGCCAACGGTACCAGAATCAAACATTTTAGGAAGAATCAGGTATGAAACATTAACATGAAATCTATTTGATAAGTCTATGGATATCCAGTCACAGCCTTAAAATCAGATAAAGATAAAAAGAAGACATTAAATCTCTGAAGATCTCAGCAGAGGAGGATTAAACAACTCCACAAACAGCATTACCAGCTTCACTTATTACTTACCAGACTGACTTTATTTCAGTCATAAGTCTATGAACGGAGGTTAGATGTTGATGTTTTAAAATGTTTGGTCACCATTATGGTGATCAGTGTTTACTTTAGTTGGGCAGTTTGACTCTTAGCATTTTAAGTTAAATTTTGGTCTTTGTAACAGTGTTTACCAAAGCACATAATTTGTTACATAGGAAAACAAAACCAAAGGTGTTCAGGTGTTATAGTCTTCATTATCAAAAAGGAGAATGATTCACTAATCTTATCCTGGACCCTGACCAAAAGTTGTTACTTGTTATTAATAAATAACTTTGACCTTACTTGACACAGGGCAGACATTCTGAATTTTTGTATACATTTTTTGAATTTTTTTTAAAAACATTATAATTTTTTTTAGAAACAAACAGACATCAAGAATCAGCATATGAATCTCAATAATGGTGACATGCTTCATGCTACAATGCATGCTGGGAGTTTTAAACTATGTAGCCTCCCAGAATGCATTGCGGCATACAGCATGTCACCATTGTTGAGATTCATATGTAGATTCTTGATGTCTGTGTGTGTGTCCAAATATTACATTCCCAATTTTAGGAAAAATATCAGCTTGATGTCTGATCTGTATAAAAAAAATTATGTTGTTGAAAAAAAATCTATTAATAACAAATAACCACTTTCGGTTGTTTTTTTTGTACTTTATTATGTTGTAAACTATACGCCTATCACCAGACCACTTTTGTTTCTGACTTTCTTTGCAACAAATGATGTATGATGACCATAAATTCACATAAGAAGTCTAGAGTCAAATTGCCCAACTAAAGGCAACACTGTTCACCATGATGGTGCCAAAAATTGTACAATGGTAAATTTTTACCATTGTTGTGTTTTTAATTGGCTAATACGGAACTTAGTAAATATACAGTAAATTGTAATAAATTACAGCATTTTACTGTAATAATGCTACTATAATCACAGTAGCACTGCTGTATAAATACAGTACTTTATTGTACTTTTTTTTTTACTGCAAACAGTAAAAATCCTGTATATTACTTGCTGTAAATTTACTGCAATTAGTTGCCAGGAATTTCCTGTAAAATTACAATAAATTGTTAACAGTGTAAGCAACTGCTGTGAGCACACTGCATGCCTGTGTGGAGATCAGAGACAGTCTCCATACCCACAACTCTCCTTTATCTCACAAGCTGTGATGGGTTGAGTACGGAAACGTTCACTGTTTTTGCGACTCCCTGCAGGATCCCCAGGCATGTATCGACGGGTACGCCGACGACTTCCCTCGGCACCTGGTTGAACCGCTAGGTCAAGAGTCAAGGCCACCACGCCACCATCAGTGGTGCTAATATTTGAGATGGCGGAGAGGAATAATGTGTGTTTGCAAGAGAAACAGAAACAGAGAAAGAAGGAATGAGTCAAAGGAAAAGATTAGAAACGGACACCTCTCCTTCTCACAGCACACCGAAGATGGTAGGATGTTAGACAGCATCAATCACACTGTCACCATGGTGCCAAAAGTTAACTACAGGTAAACATTAGCATTATGTTAGCACCACAAAATGTGCACATAATACAATTTATTACATAAAGAGATACCCTAAAACTGATATGAAATGTATACAGCCAACAAAGAAAAGCTAAAACACTGTTAAACAACTTAAAAACTACTTTATCATTTTATTTTTTTAATATGGTGTGACTCCTAGATGTGTGAATAATAATGTATAAAGTCTAATTTAAGTGTATTTTTGCAGCAAATTAGAAAAAGGTGGATACTTAAAGGTACACCATGTAAAAAAATGTATTCAGAATTTAAATAACGAGTCAGTACATCATCAATCCTCCTTTTGAAACGTATATTTATAATTTAGAAGGGGCGGGATGTTTTTCACAGGAAATTGCACCCGTCTCAAATAGAGAAAAGTTGCTCTGGCTACTTTGACGTGTGTATGGTGCAGGAGTACCATAGGTTAGTTGTCTTTCACAACGACTGGGAAAGATTGACACGAAGCAGCTAAATTACTCCTCCGAACAGAGGAGAGTCTGCTGGCAAAAGAGAACGTGACAGAGCTCGTAATAAAACAAGAATCAACATTGGCTTGGCTTTTTGGATATGGCGAGAACTGAGGGATTCGAAATGTTGTAAAAGCGTAAAGCCTTATAGCTTTATGAGCAGTAGGATAACCATATTCATCCGCACAGCCGAAGCACAGCCAAAACAATGTTGTACCGCAAAATGCACTGTTTTGTTTTTTAACCGCTAAAGGGCCAAAAGTTACATAGTGTACCTTTCATGAAATATTATTATTATGCAGAATAGTGGTGTTAGAGATAACTGCAAATGTCTTTGCCTGTGGCAATACAAACAGAATGAAGCAGGAAATGAACACACACACTGAGACACACTCCCTACACTCTATTAGACGGAGCAGGACTCGAGGTTTGCTGTAGAAGAGCGCTCTTCAGCTGGCCTACTGATACATGAGTGTGTAACTGGCGTGTGTCAGGGGTTGAGGGCCCATGGGAGTCTGGAGGGTTTTCCCCATCCACTGTACCAGACGAGCCCAACAAACACTCCCTGGAAAGGGTGATTGAGAGAGACAGAGGACTTCAACTGGAGGAAATAAAGTGTGCAAGGCAGGGACAGCTGAGAGACATGCACAGGGAGGGATGGCGTAGATATAGAGAATGAAGAAAATGTAGCTTGCAAAAAGTTATTACACTAAAAAAATTTTTGAAATTTATTTATCTGACTTGCATATCATTTTTGCATCCATTTGGATTACAGAGCTTTGACAAAGAAACTAATAAACTGAATGTGATGCATAAAGTATAAAGCAGGTAAGATTTCTGTAGTACTCACTATAAACTAAATGTGTACACAATGGCCAGCTGTATATATTTATCAATAAATCCAGTTTGTTTCAATCTCATACATTTTGACTAATTTAATAATGGCTTGTTCCACAGCTAGCCATATTTTAACTATAGTTTTTAACTGAATAAATTCACAATGAATAGATTCGTGCTGATTCTAAGCAGTTTGACTAAACGCATTTTAAAAATATGATTATTTAAATAAAATAAAATACAATTAAAATAGATAATTTAATAATAAACTATGCCATTTTTTTTTAGTGTAAATCTTACCTGTTTCTTTTATGCATGACTGACAAATATGCTTCACATTAACTTTATTAGATTGTTTATGTTAAAACAGTGTATTCCAGATGGATGGAAATTGTATATGTAATTCAAATAGATCAATCTTAAATTTAGGCCTTTTTTTTTTTTTTTTTTTTTTTACAGGGAAATTTAGCAGAAATTTTATTTTGTGAGGATTAGAATATATCCGAAACTAGAAGTCCTGTGTGATCTAGTGAATATTTGCAGAGGATGTAACTCCCTCACAATACATAATGCCTGATTTATGTCCACAATAAACCCAGGAATGTCTTTTAAGAAAGTAATTAGGATGAATTTCGAGAGGAATGACACAAATCTTTCATGCTCTAAAGCCTCAGGAAAGCTCACCTGTTTTGGTGTGTGTTCTCTCCACTGGTGTTCACCTTACATCCATTGGAGATCATTGCAGGAACAGGCCGTTCCTCTAATGGTGTTTGTCCATTCCTCCCCATCCCTCCATTCATTCCTCCTGAAACAGACTTTTCCACATAGTTAGAGTCACGGACACCGCGTCCTTCCCTGTCTCTTCTCGACCACTTAGATGGAAGCTCCTCTTCCTGGCTGCCATAACGTTCAGTCAGCTCTCGCCGTCTCTCTGCTTTGTAGCGAGCTATGCGTTCAGCTCTGGACTCCTGGGCTGCATTTTCCATTTTGTCCATATCATCAACTCCAGTTTTGTCACTTTGGATGTTTGAAGTAGGCAGAATAATTCCTGGTGTATGATCAAGATGATTATTAACCCCTCAATTTGGAAAACAAGGGTGGAGGAGTCCCAACCGAAGAAATGTTTGATTGATCAGAAGAACAAATTACAGCAGGTTCCTCGAATAATATGTGTGTGTATCATCCTGATCACTTCCCCGAGGACATGGCACTGTCGGAAAGCAAATAAAAGAGTTCTTAGATCATCCGCTCGACACACCGAGGTGTCAGATATCTATAGATAAATGGAAGGACAAGAAAATACTTTCATTCAACAATTAACACCTATACATTTAGACCCTGTTTAATTATTTATTTATTTTTGTTCATATCCGAAGCTTAAACCTACCTGCAAACCTGCAAAATTAGCATTTACCTTTCCTATTTATCAGTGTAAGTGTACTCCATGACCTGCTTTAGTGAGCTTCTGAATTTGGGAAACTCCTCTTGCACTGACACTCTACACCACAGAAGTGCAGCTCATCTCAGCAGTCTTTTTAGGGCAAGCCATTTATCAGACAAGCTGATCCATCAACACCAACACAGGTGTATTTGAGTATATTTAGTCTCAGCAGGTTTATTAGTATTGGCATACTACAACACATTTTAAGTAAACAACACAAGTCAGAAACAGTAATACAAATAACAATTGCCAAACTCACAAAAATGATTAGACCAGCTTAAACCAGCTTAAATTTGCCAGATTGTTTTGCTGTAATGAGTAAACTGAGTAATGCTTGTTTATTGTGTTTCAGGTATTTTAATCAGTCAAAAGTTTGCTGTTGGTAAGATTTTTAATGCATTTAAAATAAGTCTCCTGTGCTTATCAAGGCTGTACAAAAATACTGTATAAAAAAAACAGAAATATTGTGAAATATTTCTGTTTTAATATATTTTATAATGTAATTTATTCCTGAGATGCAAAGCTGAATTTTCAGCATCATTACTCCAGTCTCCAGTGATCCTTCAGAAATCATTCTAGTATGACGAGTTGGGCTCAAGAAACATTTCTTACTATTATCAGTGTTGAAAACAGTGCTGCAATATATTTTTATTTAGAAATTATAATATTTTACTACTAATTATCTTTTTGGATTTTTGCAAGAGTTTGATTTGGCAAGAATAACACCAAGCAAAAATGTACTTTATGGATATTGTTGATGATACAGTACTATCTGTCAAATATATGTTGATTTTAAGGAAAACTATAATTCAGTTTAGAAATTAGTATTATTGTTCATTTTACGCATCTCTGGGAAGCCATAGAAACAGTAAAGACAGTCATTTATGAACAATAGCATGAAGAACCTGAAGAACAAGTGGAGCTAATGCAACTGATACAGACACAGACTAAGCCACCATCGTGTTAGTCACACTCAGCTGTAATACATGAAATTACCCAAACAAGACCGGTCAGAACATGCCTTCCAAAATGATCATGTGGTAACCTAGTCACCAAGCTGCCATAACAACACAAACACAGCTTTACTCATACATAAATAATGACATCATCATCTTATCACCCATATACAACATGGACCTGGCATGTGGTCGATGGCCTACCCATGGGAGCCCTCCAAGCTGCATCAAAGAGGAGTGTGTGTGTGTGTGTGTGTGTGTGTGTGTGTGGGCTCCTCTCCTCCTAAATAAGCAAACTGTAAGCATCAGCATTCTGCCAGATCCGCTCACAACTGAAACACAATAGCCCCGATATAACAACAGAGCAAAGATCCAGCAGTACCACAGCAGAAAGAGGGGTCCAGCTTCACTCAGTGAGCCTTATATGGGGTTTCAGGAGCCCAAAGCAGAGTTTGAGCTCTCAAATCTACAGCAATCATATCATGAGGAATGAAACTTACAAAATGGACCTTCCAAGAACTCTAAGTAATGTCATCTATCAATACTGGAAATTACAGGCTGATACATTTAACTCTGTAATGTCACAAGGTTCAGAACAAGTCATTTCTGCAACTCAAGACCTCATTTAGGGTTCCTCAGACTGTTATACTATTACTAAACAGTTGGCCAATATAGAAATGAAGATAAATGATATACAAGTCAGTTCAATATTAGGTAATATTAGATTAAACCTCTTAATAGACTTTTAATGCAATAGTGAACAGGATCTTCAGCAGCATTGTCCTGTCTGTAGGGAGCATGAGAGTCATGTCTCATCTGAGAGAGACTTTCCTGAGAGATTTAACAAGCTTAGCCATGTCATGATCCCATGATGATAAGAGTCTCAAACAGTATGTGACAAAATCAAAATGTGTGTGCTGCTGATTTTAAACATCTCGATAAAACACCTATTCAAATTTGTTTAAAAAATAATAAAACATTTTTGAATGTGCATGTAGCAACATGGGGTAAATAAAGTGGTAATAAAAGTGCAATGAACTGTGCAATGGCTGTCAGTTTGGCACCACTTTGATTTTACTTAAAACGTACTATTTCTGTTTGCTTAATATTTTGAAGACAAAACATACACAGCACCCAGCAGTAATCAACCAAACAAAGTGGTTACAGACAGTATGACAGAGTCGGAGAGATGGAGCGAGTCACGTGAAAGGGAGTTTGAGAATACGGGATGGAAAGGCACTGTAGTAGTTGGTTGACGTTTGGGATCAGTTAGACTCATCAGTCCTTAATCCAGTAACTCCATCTGACATGGACATGTGCTGAGCACAGACATATGCAAACAACCACACACACATAGACGGCAGCATTCACAATTCACTAGTCATGACTGAGGTATTCTCAGCACACGTTACTAATCTTGCTTAATAGCCGTTGGATTAATTGTACTACAGTTAGCTTGTGGCAGTTGTGTTTTCTTGTGGCAGATTTACAACAATCCAGCTGCATTTAAATGAAGTCTCATTAGCTTGTGCCCAGAAAAACTAGTAATACAAGATGCATTTGAGATACACCAATTAAATCGTTTAATAATTGCCAAAGGGAATTTACTCATGTTAAAACGAAAAACAGGAGCAGGTGAAATGCATGCAGTATGGCACACATCTTCAGATGTGCTTTTTAAATTATTGTTTTATTCCTGGTTTTTGACACAATAATTAATCAGTCTACAAAAAGAATTATTTATGAATATCTATTATAATAATACTACTAATAATAATGGTTGCAATTTTGTTTAATTTTGTTATTGTTATTATTAACAATAATTGTAACCATTTTGTTTTGAGCTGACTAACTGTTAAAGTCAGCATGAAACAAACAAGAAGAAATGTAGGGTGGGACTTGATTTTGACCACCAGGAATGGAATAGATTGTATCATGTGATGTATTTGTGATATTGTTGTGATGTCATGCACTGTAAAAAGTAATACCTAGATCTAACTTATAAAAAGTGAGGCAAGTGGCTGCATTGGATGTTTTATGTTGATTCAACTTGCAGCCTTTTTTAAGTATATTGAACACTTTAACATTACTTTATACAAACGCAACAAAATCAAGTTGAGTTAACTAATAGTACTAGTATTACTCAGTTAGATAAACCTACTTTTCTTGGTACAGGTAACTTATTTATGGGTTGCTACAAGTAACCTGTACTCATTTTAATTAGTTTTTATGAACTTTATTTTCTTAGTAAAATTAACTTAATCATATGTGAATAAACATTTTTATTTATTTATTTATTGTCAATAACAATTACAAATTCAATTGAAGAAGAAAAATATGAGAAGATAGATTGAAGACAATATTCAATTTATTCAATGTCAACCAGTGTCACTTTTAACAGTGACTACAAAACAGCAAATAAATGTGGCCGCACATGTACACTCTAATATAAAACAAACACTGTAGAAGTGTATTTTCAACCTGTTCTGAACAGTACAGTAAAATATCCAAACTGCCCAATCTGAAATGTTTGGATCAAGGTAAATGTGAGCCATAACATCACATTGTATCACACTGGAACTGCAATGTCAAAAATGACATGATGATGGTTTAGGACGCACAGGGTCCAAGCCTACAAAAAGCCTCTGATATATCTCAAGTATACACCAGTTTTGAGGGATACTTGAAGTCGAGAGCATAGGTAAGTTCAAACAGGAGGCAGCATGCTTTCGACAGGTTTGGCACACCTCTGACCACGGGCTGTCCTTATATGATAATCCCAATCGTGTCGGGGTGATGGCACATGTAAATTTCCAGTGGGCAACTGCCAAGCTCAGCGTGCACCTCTGTTTCAGCCCGACTCTATTGGTGGAGACAAAAAAGAAACAAGAGTTTGGTCAGACAAATAGGAAATGAGATGAATATAGCAGACAGGTAGAAGAGATAAGACACAAAGTCCAAATTGTACTTTTGTTGCTAAAGGTGGTGGATACAAGATGGATACTGTGACTAGAACATGTGACCAGAGTGAAGTCTACCATGACAATGCCATAGAGTGTGGGTACTAAAATATCATGATCTACTCTAGCATGAGTGTTGTATTTTTCTGGTTCAAAGCATTCATTACAATAAAACAAATCCAATTGTCCTTGCCTGTACCTGATTGGTCATCACATTACTGTTAATTAAGCTACAGAGTTTAAATATCTTTCAAGAGCAAACGTAATCACCCCATATCATCACAATATTAATAAACCCACTAAGCAAAATTATGTCCAAAAGACATCTTTTCAACGTCTTTGTCACAAAGACGTACATTGAAAAGACGTCCACTGAGGAGCCAGAATGAAAGTTTTTACGACTTTTTTTGAGGTGTTCTGTAATGAACGTTCACGGAAGCTCCATTCAAGGTTGAAAACTAGTTCAGATGTGGACAATTTTCAACATCATTTAAGGTCTCATTTGGACAATTTATACTTATTCTAGACCAAATAAACACTCTCAGGATATATTAAATTAAAACTCACATTTATTTCAATGTAATTTCCATGTGTAATTGCAAAGCAATTCACAGACAGTGAAGTTTCTTTTCATGATTTTTGGACAAACACGCACTGACACCTTTAGACAGTTTTAGCATCTGTAATTTTTACATATTTGGATCGTGAGAGAAATCAGATTCGAACCAGGGACCTTAAGCTGCTGCCCTAAGTAGACAGTAATGATTTCATGATTTTTGGACAAACACACACTGTCTGTGAGTTGCTTGGCAATTAGAAATTACGTTGAAATAAACATGAGTTTTAATTTAATGCATCCTGAAAGTGTTTATTTGGTCCAGAAACAGTTTAAATTGTCTAAATGAGACATTAAATGACATAAAATATGTCCACATCTGAACTAGTTTTTAACCTTGTATGGAGGTTCCCTGAACGTCTATTGGACTTACAGAACACGTATAATCTGATCAAATTGTAATTGAATCTATTCTGAAGTTTGTCTTACCTGGATGTGAAGCTCGAAGACCCCAGGTAACAAAAGTGCTTGGGTATCTAAAGACCAGGAAAATGTTAGATGTTAGAAATAAGGTTAAAAAATCAGTTGTAAATGTAACTTCTTTAAGTAATAGGTTAGAAATAGTTTAAAAATCTAGACCAAAAATCTGTCATTAATTGACTATGCAGCATTAAAATAACGTGGATCAAATCACTAAAATCAGACAGACTACTAAACATACATCTCTACAGTATAATCTGTGCATCTGCTTTAGTAATGCAAAAGTATAATAACATAATCTCTGAGTTCTGTCAAAGACACACAAAACAAAGTGTTGTCCATAAAACACCACATCTTACTTTCCCTTATTTGCCCGCACAACTATTGCCTGAAGGCTCGAAATTGTGACCGTTTCGATCGCATATGATCCCGAAATTTAATCTGTGCAATCTAAAAATATAACTGAGGGCATTTGTGCAACTAATTAGGCTATTACATGCGTAACTTGTATGTGTTTTTAAACACTGCTGTTGTCTGCCGATCGACCATACTGTGCAGCCGTCTTAGCTTACCATGTGTGCAGGATAGCTAGCTATACAATTAGCAAACCTAACCTCAGCTCCCTAGTGGAGTAAGCGATTTTGCGTGACTTTAGTTTACATCACCAGTCATTCGGCTAAATTTGCTCAACTTACCGTGTTAATCAGACCCTGAAATTCAGATCCGCTGCAGCGACCAAACAGTTGAAGTGCCGAGGAAGATATTGCATCATGCCTGGAGTCCCCGCAAGTGAAAAAGGGATAATGCCAACTTATAAAATTTAAAATATTTACGTTTGATGAACACACCTGTCACATCGACAGCTGCTCAAATAAATTGTGCATTGTCAACTCACTTTTATTACATTTATTTTACACAACAACCACATACAAATAACTACCCAAATAAATTGCATGGGTTTTATTTAAAATATATTGTTATATAAAAACTGATATATTTTAAGTAGAGAGGAAGTATTTTGATCCTTTTTTGTATAAAACCAATAAAATAAACTAGATTACAAATATTTAAAATATATAAAACCTACTTTGTGGGTGTAGCACTTTTTACAGTGTGTGAGTGACAGATTGTCCCGCCCTCACACCAGTTAACACTTCAACAGAGAAGAGAAGAGATACACTACACTACACTAAATAAGTAAATAACTTCACAGGGGCAAGAGTGTGTAACTGTCATGACTGCAAGAGTGCAAGAGTGTGTAACTGCCATGCAAAGAACGATGCAGTAGGTTTCACCACAGATTCAGAAAATGATGTTAAGTTTAAAGAAGTGCCCAAGCTTCTGTTACGAATCCGAAAACGTCTAGCAATGATGGCTTTCTGATAAGTTATTGGAGTAAAAAGGCAGAGACAGTATGAATGTGTTGATAAACAACAATTCAATAAACAAGAAGGTAGATTTTCGAACAAAACATTGTTTGTTTTTCCCTTTTCATTGAAAGGAGTTCCACGAAAAAAGCAACAGCAACACAGAGCTTTCTCGTTTTAGAAAAGCCATTACATTCTAAAGTAATAAAGAAATTACAGTAATTACGGAGAATAACAGTCAATTTTATAATGGATGCTTTTCTAAAATGAGACAGCTTCAAGGACATATGTGGTCGATGCGACCTCCGGAGGGCGCAGCCTTCGAAATGAGTCACAGCATCAGTGTTTGTGAACAAATCGGTTGAGTAAATGATTCAATGACTCATTCATGAAAAATAGAAAATTATACATTTACTCATTACTGTTATTTTTTACTACTAACCTAAAGATACAAAACTTACCAAGAACTTACCAAGCATGCAAAACCAGGTATGCTTGAGCATTTTAGGGTTGCATCTTGTGACACGTCTTGTTTTTGGTTTGTTTAGATGTCTTTATTCCAGTTGAGTTCATATTTCAGTCGAACTGCACCAGAGTTTGTTTGGAGTTTGTTTTCTTTGGTGCACAGTGCACACAAGGTTCAGATGGCAGCATTCACACTTAATTCAAATGAACCACACTAACAGAGCGATCACACCAAAGTGCGTTTTAATTGAACCAAACCTACCAAGTGTGAACACACCCTTAAAATCTCCACCACTAATGTACAGACTGACAGTTTGTCTGGAGAGAGCAACACAGACAAGCAGATTCAAACACACAGATACATACTTAGAGTCTCAAGATTTGCATGACTCTATTTTAAAGACTCTGTTTGCTATAAGACACTCTTCTGCAAGACATGTCCTATTGCATGTCATTTATCTCCAGCTATACATCACAAGGATTCAGAGTAGAGCAAGTTTAAGGACTTACAGTTATAACCATTATGGGATTCCAGGACTTCTAGCCCCCATCCTGCGCTATGATCAGGTAATGCAATGTCAAGGTTATATTTAACACAGGCATGGTAATAGTCTTACGACAAAGAGGTAAATAGTACAACAGCAAGATGTTTAAGACTAATAAGGGACAGTCTGCATAAACATAATAAATAAAAAAATAAATGGCAGCGGATAATAAATATGATTTAGCTTTTGACCTTGGTTATACTCACATAACCCACGGGTCACACAAGCTAGACAAGTCATAACCCTCACATACATACACACACACACACACACACACACACATTCACTCATGATCTCAAGGCAGGGCACAAGGAAGAATTTCCAAGACGTCCATTTTCTTTTCCCATTATAATAATTATCCTTCACTGATAATTATCATGCACGCAACTTCAATATTAACCTGTAACACTTTACCTGAAGCCTGTACATGTTTTACAGATAAGCAAAAGACTGTATAAGACACATTATGCAATGCATTTATATAAATAACTGCAAACACTGTAATAACCTCATAATGTTGCTGAATGCTGATGATATGCTATAATTAAAATGTACTGTACTACTGTAAACTATGTCTTTGGATAGGCAACATTAAATTCACAAGAATAAACAACTTGTCTGATTAACTATAGCATTATGTATAAAACATTATATACATATAAAGCATTATGGCATTATGAATGCGGAATACATTATGGATTATATAGCCTACCTTTATAAGCATTTTACCAATATAGGCCTACTGCTCATCATACAAGCACTGATAAGAAAAAATGCGGGTGACCACAATATGAAAATAATGTGCCACATGGACAATTGATTTTGCTATATCAACAAATGGTCATTTGAAGTCATTTGAATTTGCAGTAGCGTACATTAATAGTTCGTAGAAACTTGTGAGTCAGTTATTTAATTTGAGGTGTAGGCTACAGGTGCGTTTGCTGCGGTGAAAATGGGTGCAAGCACGGTTGCACATATAGGTGGAGCAGATATCATATTTCACTCACTTTATACAGTAAACATCGACACAATGAAAGCTCATTTGGACTGCTGCAAGCAAAATCCAGCGCGCCAGCATTACAAGAAGACACTAATGTTTAGCATTAAAACAACGTTGCTTTTAAGTACTTTACGATATGAACTGAAAAGTTCTTTTTTTTTTCGTTTAGTTTCACAACGATAGGAAAATCTGTTGTCTTAAAACTCGTGATAAATGTAACGGCAGAAATGAATGACGGTACTTACTCGATCTGTGGATGTATCAGCTGTGCGTTTGGATCAACACTGACAGCTACACAGACACACACACTGCCCTAATGGCCAATGAGAGAGTGTGAAATGCCTTTTAGGGTGTGAGTGGGGGAGGAGGGGGGGGGGGGGGGGGGTGCGGCTGGGCTGGGTTAGGAGAGAGAGAGAGAGAGAGAGAGAGAGAGAGAGAGAGAGAGAGAGAGAGAGAGAGAGAGAGAGAGAGAGAGAGAGAGAGAGAGAAAAATACCCCCGTGACTAGGGGCAACATTCCATTGCAAGGGGGCACAGCTAGTTTTATTAAAAAATCTACTTGGTCGAACTAATTTGTTGCTAATTTAAAGTATTACAAACCCTTTTAAGAAATATCATTAAACTGATCACACGCAAGTGATCAGTATAGAAACAGGCCACAAATGACGGGTCGCCCCCTCATGGGCGTCGTAATGTTTACATGCAATCGACGGAGTTTCTAATAAAAAAATAGTAATGGTGTGGATTTGAACAAAAACAAAACAACTTTTGTTGGAAAACAAACTTCAAGATCCAGGCCAACAGTCATTAAAAACCAGGCTACGCACCAACGGGAGCCACAATATGAACACATTTTGCACTTATAATTTTGTACATGGGAAAAAAATCTTGCTGATCCCTCTGCATTAGCTACATTTCTTGGGGATGACAGATATCATTCTATGGGACGGACAGACTAAAAAATTAGGAAGTTCCAATGAGTAATTTAATGGTAAAAGAAAAACAATGACACTGTGGCATGACTGCCTCCCAGTGGTCACCTTTCGTAGTCGTTTTAGCTCTACATTGCAGGGTTGGGGGAGTAACGGAATACAGTAATCAGTAATCAGTATACACAAATACTGGTAACTGAAATTGGTTACAGTTACGTCGAAAACAAATTTGCTATCAAATTACAAAAATAAATTGGAGGAATACTACCAGGATTCCAATGGTTATATTTGGACAATCAGCTTGAGAGGCTTTTGCCAAATGCTGCCAACAGACTACCGGTAACTGCAATCATTTGTAGTAATTTTGAATCCTTTTTTTTTTTTTTTTAGCTTTGTTTAATGTTAACATAATTCAGTGCATCTTTTATTATTATATTTGCTTGAGGAAAAATGCAAACTTGTATTCTGTATTTTTCTGTTGAAGAAACAGATTTTTATATTAGGTTGGTTTTATATTAGCAGAGCTTTTTAGTTAAAGCATAGTTACAGCTACATGCCATTTTCTTAAATATTGTATATTTTGCATCAAATCCATAATAAATAAAAAAATAGTTGTGATGACTGCTTTTTATTTACATTTTTATTTATTTGCTTGACTTTATTTGCACATGTGACCTTGAAGGAATCCAAACGTAATCAGATTACATTACTACCATATTGTGGGACTCAGATTACACTACTGAATACCTTTTATGAAGTCATTTGTAACTGTAAGGGAATACATGTTCAAAGTAACCCTCTCAACTCTGACTATTTGCATTAGATATTCTTGGCTGCCGATAGAGAAAAAAGGTGGCAAACAATGTTGAAATTGCTGTTTTATTACTTAAGTGTCAGTATAAAGAAAATGGTAAAATGTGCATTCAATTACATATTTAATTGATTTGTATTCATAATAAAATCATAATGTCAACTAAGCTTAAATATCACTCTCAGCCCGTTCAACAACAAACAGGCACTGCTGGCTCTTGTTTGTGTTTACCTCAAATTCATCATGAACAGAAAACAGAAAACTTGCTTAGAACCTAAAACATAGTATGTCTTTAAAATTAAGGCAAAACAAAAACAAAATGGTATAAAAACATTACTATGAAAAAAGTCAACTTTCAAAAACAACTTTAAAGTAGCACATTGAAACAATCTGGAAACTTACCTGTTAAACAACATATTGTGCTGCAACATACAAAATTTCATTATTAGAGAGTTGTCACAAGTGAAAAAGACAAATTCTCATTCCTCACCTCCGTAAACACGTGAACAAGGTGGTGATATATATATTTAAAAAAAAAAAAAAAAAATCAGGGCATGAGAGCTCCAAAAATAACTGAATGTTTCATAAGGGCATTTGTTTCTTTTTAAACATCATCATTACACAGTATCAGTAACATTTTCCATTTCCACCAAGAAGTTTATATAAAAATAAAATAAAATAAAAAAAGTGATCCAATGGTTAAGGTGTTGCACTTTACTCCATTATTAAAAAATCAATCTAATCGCTCTTGTGGCAGAATAATTCTTGGTGCAGCTCAGACTGGATGGGAGGAGCCAGGCAAATGATGTGACTCCGCCCATCTGTCACTCATCTTCACTGTTGCGGTTAGCCAGGAAAGGATGATCCAAAGCTCTGCAGGCAGAAATGCGATGAGCTGGATTGAAAGCCAAAAATTGCTACATGGAAAGGGAAGTTTCAGACAAGAAAACAGTTATTTAAATGTGTATTTTGAGTACCAGTCACTAACCATATAGGAATCAATGAGTAACGCTTACAGACAACAGGTCATTCTCCTCATGGGCTAGGCTGGGCAGCAGTTGTGTTGTTGGCTTTGTCTCAACCCAGGCAGGAGTGTAGCAGACAGGGCTTTCTATGGGCCAGTCCTCCTCACCCGGCAAACCAATTACCCTGTGAGAGAGGGAACATACAATTAGTACAAAAGTGTATAGTTCTTGGTTGCAATTAATATTAACTGGGATTTGGGAATGCAAAATTATTTTCACTCACTCAAAGATCTTTTGCAGCTGCTGGATTTCTGTGAATCCACAAAACAATGGCCTGCAGAAAAGTTGAGAGAGAAAGTTAAACCGTCTCACAAATCTCAGAAATTGACAAGCTGTTTGTATTGTGTGCAAATTCATCTGTCACATGGTTAAACATTTACATTAGGCCTTATATTAGTGATTATTTGAAATCCTCAAAACCATAAGCATGACTGCATAAGACAAAATTAAATATGGTCACACATGTTATTTAAAGTTTTAGTTTTGGTGCAGAAAAATTAAATACATTAAATACATGTTCACAAGGTGTGCTGAATTATTGGGCAGAGAGGCTATGAAACCATCACAAAATAAACACTGTAAAGTTATCAACTATAAGGAAATAAAACCTAGGTATGTTTTATGGTAGTTTAGGGTTCAATTATCACTATATTAACTAGTTGCTTATTAGCCAGCATTTTATTAGGATATTGGGTGTTTATTAGTACTTATAAAGCACATATTAATGCCTTATTCTGCATGACAATATTCTACATTCCTAATCCTACCCAATACCTAAACTTATCAACTACCTTACTAACTATTAACTATTTGTAGTTTACTGAGGCAAAAGTCGTAGTTAATAGTTAGTTAATAGTGAGAATTGGACCCTAAAATAAAAGTGTGACCTAATTTTTATTCAGGATTCTTTGATAAATAGAAAGTTTAAAAGACCAGCCTTTTAGTTTGAAATAGAAATCTTTTCTAGTGTCACTTTTGATCAATTTAATGTATCCTTGCTGAATAAAAGCATACAAACTGACCCCGAACTTTAATGGTAGTGTATGTCAGGTGGCGACTTGACATCCATTGTAAAAGAATATCTCTCTGAACTGTTTTGCTCTCACCTTAACAGAAAGAGCTCTGCAAAGATGCAGCCGGCACTCCACATATCCACTGAAGACATGTAACTGGACTGCAACAGGACCTCTGGAGCCCTGTACCACAGAGTAGCAACCTACTCAAAAAAACACACACACAATTACAAATCACATGCCAGTGCTCCCGACCACTCCACATATGACTGTGAATGTGAGGTCCATACACATGGGGTGAGGGCGATATGGCATGTGTATATCCTGGCTAAACCAAAGTCTGCGATCTTGACCACCCCCCGACTGCTCACAAGCACATTGTCTGGCTTCAGGTCCCGGTGAATGACAGTGTTGGTATGGAGGAAGTCAAGTCCGCTGAGCAGCTGACGCATCATATCCTACATAAAGAGAGAAAAAAAACATCAATCTAAAGTCCAATTCTGTCCACTCCATTGAGTTCAGCTCCAACCCCAACTAAACACGCCTGAACCAGCTAATCAAGGTCTTACTAGGCATACTAATAACTTCCAGGCAGGTGTGTTGAGGCAAGATGGAGCTAAACTTTGCAGGACCGAGTTTGGACACCCCTGATCTAAAGGCCCATTTACACAAAGAACTACAACTATGAAGATAAAAATAACAGTAACTATATTAACGTCCACACCAACACACAATATCATTCTGTTTATTCTAAGCTGCAGGTTTGTAGTCTGGCACTTTAAATGCTCTTTAAAACTGAGCTCTGATTGGCTATCAATGTTTTTATCGTTCATCAGCTGCAAAAAAAAAAAAAATAAGTTATAATTATGGATATTTTTCTTATAAAAACGCATCGATTCGCTTTAGAAGGCATTTATTAACCACCTGGAGCCGTATGGATTACTTTTATGATGGATGCATGTGCTTTTTGGGGCTTCAAAACCTAAGGTACCGTTCACTCCCATTATAAAGCTTGGAAGAGCCAGGATATTTTTTTAATATAACTGTGTTTGGCTGAAAGAAGAAAGTCATATACACCTAGGATGGCTTGAGGGTGAGTAAATTATGGGATAACTTTTGGGTGAACTAACCCTTTAATCTCTATGTGCAACAATATGCTAGCGCATTGGGGAATGTTGTATGTTCATTGAACTGTATCTTTTTTCCTGGGCAATAATGGCGGAAGTGTTCAATAACTTTTTTGTAGTTATACAAAACCTAATTTTTTACAATAAATAGTCCTGCAGTAAAACTGTGTGCCAACTAGGCCTATAACTAATTTATTATATTTAATATGAAAAATTGTCACTGCAAAATGAGAGGAGCAAAGTTCAAACCTTGATTTTGTCTCTGGCCAGGCCTTTCGCTGATGCTTTGCTGAGAAATGTGGTAAGATCTTGATCGATATATTCAAACACCAACATCAGGTCAAACTTCTGGTTCTGCCACCCAGCTGAAACATTCAGCAACCTAAAGAGAGAGAGGTCACAATGCTCAAACTGAAAACACACTATACTTCTCAAACCTTTGGTATTTGACCGACCGAAACTTTCTATACTCACTTGACTATGTTGGGGTGGTTGAAGTGCTCTATTTTTCGCAGAAGAGCCACTTCTCGTATGACGAACTGAGGGATGCCACACTCTGGGTCCTCGGGGAGGTTCAGTCTCTTCACCGCTATGAGACGCTGCTTGTCGCGCCTCTCTCTGGCTTTGTACACTTTCCCGTAGGAGCCCTGGCCAATTTCTGCCAGGAATTCATAATCTGATTCTGAGCTCTCCCAACAACTGTCATCCATGTTTGGATCAGAGCAATCTGTCAATACGTGTTACTGCAGTAACAAAAAGGCATTAAGTCATTAAGAAAGTCGGACCGAGCTTTGACTTTCAATTTACGTTTGTTCAAGCGATTCAAATTTAAGTCGGCCTGTTATTTTTAACCGTTTAAAATTAAATTAATAAACTAATGAATAAACAATAATTACATAAATAGGCATATATTAATCTTTATGAATATAATTGATTGAATTACGGTGGGAAAAAATGTTAAGAACATTCCACTGGCATTAAATTTGTTTGTAAAATTAAATAAGTTTGTAAATTGATTTATTGAGATTAAAATAAATTAGATTAGACTTGATTTATTAATTGGTATCTGTATATATTTGGACTTTTCCAGTTTCCACCATCGTGTCGAATGACCCAAATGCCATCAGCGGTGACGCGATCTGAATTTCTCCTCAACATATCGTGATAAAATGGTGTTTATTGAATATTCTATCTTGTTTAATACCGCGGTAAGAGTGCACGTTGTTTATTCATTTGAAAACTGTACATAAAACGTAATAATTGACGTTACTGACTTACCTTGTCTGTGAATGCAAAACCTTGAGCAGGAGAATCTACTATTTTGGATCACTGACACTAATCAATGTGTTGTTGTTTGCCATGATTTTAATAAAACCTCGCGACATGCAGGGGTGTGAGATTTATATCGGGACCACCAGCCAATGAACAGCTGTAGATTTCTGCTGGATTTCCCCCATTTCACTCAACGATTTAAGAAAAACGATTTTCTCAGGTGAAAAGATATATAAATGTATGCACTGAATGTCGACAAAAATCATATATTGTAGGCTATATATATATATATATATATACATACACATAAACTGCATATAATACCTTTACCTATACCATGCAAATGACTTTAGACACATAAACAAAATTTGGTTAATAGTGGTTGAGTTTAGGCTTGTTAAAGATCATCTCTTTTTTTCTTGCAGGGTCCTGATGATTAATTTGATGATACAACAAATTAAGAAAAAAATGCATTTATCAAAACCTGCCATTTTGAGACTTGCAGCCACACTGCCCCCTTGATGTAAAACCACATCCATTCCACACAGTGATTTGTTGTTCAAATCAACATATTTATTCCAAATGCACAAGCATCCATTGTATATTAATTAGCACATTTATAGGCAGATTTATACAAGTCTGCAATATCACTGCAACTTAAAAGGTAGCAAAACACAGGTAATGTGCACATGCCCTCATCCGACAGCTTCTCAAATATATCATTTGCATGTTAACCCTTTATACAGACCTAGAGGCCTAGATCCACAATAATTAATTAAATCTAAGTGCAACTAAGACTTCAGTTTACAGTTAGTTACAAAAACCCAATTTACACAGTGCAAAGCTTCTGTCTTTTCACACACACAAAAAGGTTAATGGGTTTAGTCAAATTTAATTATAACGGCAGCACTGTTTTTACAAAACGCTTGATTAAGTACATTATTTTACAGGTTACAGTAAAACCATTTGACTGAATCTGATTTGTTTCACTTTAAAAGTAGATTTGAAATCATAGTCGTGTTTTAAACCAGTAAGGCACTTGGTCAACTGCATTATTGTTAGGTTGTGCAGTGGGTAATGTTTTAATAATCACCCAGATCCTCCCTCTGTTCTTCTCCGAAACCATATCTGAGATATGTGTATATATATATATATATAAATATCTCAGATTTACACACACATGAATGATTATGTAGATTATGTGTTACAGACACTTATTCTTTCTTCTTGTTGTTGCAATTCTTGGCTTTTCTGGCGAGACTGATGGCATCCAGATGAAGATTACGTTTCATGATGACAGAACCACACGTCAGCGCTCCTGCCAACGCTCCAGCAAAACCACACATCATCATATCCTGACCTGTAAGTGAAGTGCAGATTTGAAAGAGAAAGGGGACAAACCAGAGATCTCAGAACCTTCACTGAAATGCACCTTACGTATTCTTCATTTTAAACAGCAAATACAAAAATGCAAGGCATGGCCCATGTCTCAAAATATACTTCGGGATGGTACTGTATGTGTACTTATTTTTAGTGGTTTAGTTATGCTATGTTGGGTTCTGTGTTATGTCACGTGGCTACTTGGATATATTTGTGAAATTATTATTGTAGTGTCTAATAAGCCAGCAATTTTTTTCCGTCAGACTAAGTTTTCTCGTCAAATAAAAATAGCAGGCCTACCTCAATCCACACCTTGTCTTTTTTTTTTTTTTTTTAAGTAACATGTCTACATGATGTGGGGTTAGTCTGGAGCGCATCCTGTTGACAGTTAGACCAGCGGCAGAAAACACCCTCTCTGATAGGGCACAGATGTCCCGGGAACACAGATAACGTCACAAAGAGTTGCCAGCTTCGGGAAGCACCTTTCATTTGCTTGTGGATGTTTTATTTTCTTCGCAAGTGATATTGCATTGTACTTGTAACTACTGCTGTATCTTAATACCACGTAGCATATTTAGCAAGTATCTTCGTCGCCCTTTCTGTCGAAATGGTCCCACGCAGTAGGCCTAGGCTACTTCTTTTCGCTTGCTTCATTTTGCTTGCTCAGCGAAATATGTCTGTAGGCACGTGTGGTTGCGCGTGTGTCGACGCGCCTCGTGAGTTAACAAATATAGGCTATATAGTATTTTTTTTAACCGTGCAGCAAAAAAAACTAAACTTTTAACTGTTAAACCGTTTAACTGATAGCATTAATCGGTCAAATTTTTTACTTTCGGTTAACGGTTAAACGGTTGATATGAGCATCCCTATTATAAACACAATTGCGATAAATAAAGTCAGAATCGCGAGATATGCACTTGCATTTGTGAGGAAAAAAAGTCAGAATTGTGAGTTATAAACACAATTGCGAGAAAAAAGTATTTTCTATACTGACTTTTTATCTCGGAATTGTGAGATATAAACTTGGAATTACAAGGAAAAAAGTCCGAATTGTGAGATGGAAAAAAACACACAATTGCCTTATCTATTTTTTATAACATTATTATTGTCAACATCAGAGAATCATGAACATGACAATTCTTTAATCAATAATTAAAGTATTAACTTAAAATCTCTCTTCAAGTAAATATTTCACATCTAAGCGGTCCGGCTGACAAAAAGTTTATGAAACCCTGCATCAAGCCAAACAAGGCAGAATCAGACGCACCCACCTGTGAGGAAGAGGTTTTTAACGGGTGTCTGTGGTCTGATGATGGCATTTAGTTCAGGGCTGAAGCGAGGAATTCCATGATCAGCACCATAGATCTCCCCTTTAGGAGCGCCTATGTAATGCTGATTTGTGATTGGGGTGCCTGCATCCACAAATTCAATCTGCAGATAGAGACGGACAAAAACAGTGCATAATAAAATGAAATCAAAAAAGAAAAAGACTGTTTGTAGAGTTCATACCCTGTCCTTGATCTTAGGAAAGATCTCAGTCACTGCTTCTAATATGTTATTGATGAACGCCTGCTTCAGCTCCTTATAATCTGTGCTTCTGTTCTTGATTTTGTCATCTTTCCACTCTTCAAACCATTCATAGTTAGCAAAGCTAACAACAGTCAAAGTGGATTTACCTGTAGGCGAAACATATTTGGATTTTGATGATGCATCAAGTAGTAGAATTATCAGTTATTTTATTGGAGAACCTGTAGTAACTGATTTGATTACTCTTACGCTCGTGTGGTAAAATGTGGACAAGCTCAAAACACTTTGCATCTCATTTACATGTTATGTACTGTAGCTTTGTCCACTTGTGATCAGATCAACAAAAATATTAATTCCAGATGTGAACTTTTTTTTCTCTCTACCTGGTTTTCTTTCTGGCCAGGTTGGGTCTTTGGCTGAAGGCGAGGCCACAAAAATCATAGGGTTACATTTAGAAGATTCTTCCCTGTTTCCTTTCATGTAACCCTCCACCCTGGAAGAACAGCAGACATTAGCACATAACGTGAACAGTGCTGATTTTACAGTAGACAATGATTGAGAAATACACAACATTTTGATTGCATCCTTTTTCGGATAGGTTCACACTCACAGCTCATCCAAATTGTTCTCAGGGAAGATAATGAAATTGTCTGCTTTTAGGTCCAGCTCCTCCTTTGTCCCATCCACGCCAATAAAAATACTGAGACCCCCATCTCCGTGCTGCACCATACTCAGCTGTTTCTGGATCGCTGCACAGTACCATCACAAAAAGACCACACAGTACGCTCACATTAAAAGGAATACTGTACAAACGTCACAGCAAAGAGGCAGGGCTGTCGCGGTGAAGAAATTTCCCTTGCAGTAATTTTGAGTGGCTCAATAGCGCGATATGCAGTATTACCGGCGTTTACTTATTTATTGTTATAAAAAATACGTGTTATGATGTGGTCAGCATACACAAAAACAATGTAACCGAAACTAAACAGCGTCTCTGCACATTGAAAGGCTGTCACTCAGTGCGCACATTGTTACGCCAACGGACTGTCTTTGAGTGAGTCATTAAACCGTTCATTCAACGAAAACGTTCAAAAAAGCTGATTCCTTAAATGATAGATGTAATCAAACAAGGTGTTAATTATTTTTTAACTTTGAGCTCCACTTTTCAAGGCTCGGCTGGCCAGCAATGCTTCACTTTTGGGCAAAGCTGAAGCAATACTTCACTTAATAGAGACCAATGGCATTGATTCAATGCGTGACTCGCTGCTTTTCCCCCACGGCTTCCTCGCGCTGTGTAATGCTGACCAGAGCTGACACCATTCATGGTAAATACCCTGACACGTTAAAAGGATGATACGACTAATATTTCGCTTTCCTTGGAAACGGCAACCTTTTCACGAATATACATGACTTGACTTCAAAGACAGACGCAAATCGCACGCGCTCAGTCGATCACATTCACTGTCTGTTTAGGCTTAAATCCAAATCCACGAATCCTCTGTACAAATCACCATGATATCATTATTAACTTATTTAACATTCAATATACACATGGTACGAGCT